TCGTGGTGAACAACACCCTTAGCATCAAAGAAAACTGTCATCATCACCTTGACATTGGATCGAACTTGGCAAGCTTTTTTGGGTCTGGAGGCATTTCACCAACCCATTGGGACGATTGGACCTTCATTTTAATGTCATAACCATAAACCCGTGATTCATCACCTCTTAAACTTGACAAGAAGTTTTCATCTTTTTCTGAACGATCAAGCAGTTCCTGACAAACCTGGACACGATTGGCTTTTTAGTCATCTGTCATCAGGTGTGGCACAAATTTTGCAGCAACATGGTGCATTTTCAATTTTTCGGTCAAAATTTCATAACAAGATCCAACTGATATCCCACACTCTTCAGCAAGCTTCCTGATGGTCAGACGTCAGTTTGCTCTCACTAGGGTGTTGATTTTGTCGACATGTGGGTCATCAGTTGACGTGGAAGAACGTCCAGAATGCTCGTCGTCTTCAATCAACTGTTGACCACCCTTAAAATGTTCATGCCACTTCAAATATGCTGTACGCTTCATAGCAACATCACCATAAGCCATGTTGAGCATAACAAATGTTTCAGTTGCAGATTTTCCAAGTTTAACACAAAATTTCACAGCAAGTCATTGTTCCATCAGGTTATTCATTCTGAAATCTGACAAACGAAAAAAAATCGCATTTCACTAAAACCACGTTGCTAATCAACAAATAAAGATATCTGTAACCGGGAAACGACTTTATCACCAGACAATCTGTACAAACCTAGCAACACCAAGCGGATTCCCATGAAACCAACTGCAGCTGCACAATTCAAACAGTGCACATTTTTTGAACAGATCTCGTATGCACCTTCTCTCTGATTGCTCTAGCATACAAAAATAACAATTAATCAAAAATTATTGTTTAAAATATAAAATGAGAGAAGAAATATACAAATTTAAGTAATTTGTATCTATTGTTTATTATTTGAGCATTTCTCTACTATCAACAATATCTAACTTCTTGATTATTTTTTGACATGCATCGGCATACATCTTGTAAAATTTCATTTGAAAATATAACATTACAGAAAAATGGGATCTTGGTTTTAAAATGTTTTTATTGGAGTGTATTGCATTTTATTTGTGTTTACATAGAAATCATCACTGTCAGCAAGTTAGAGCTTTGACATAAAATATATAATTGTCTAATTAAACTAATAATTTGTATTAAACATGCAGAAGTGCTTATTAATTTGGCAAAACATTTACTCAGATTATAAGGTAAATAAACATTAGAGCATACTGAAAAAGCGAACACCCAAATAGATTGGTTAAATAATCAGGATACTGATACATGATATGTTATTTAGAGAATGCTAAGAATTTACAACAATATGACAGTAAATATATAGAATACTATATATTAGAATTGTCACAGGTATATTCAACAGGACATGTGTATCTCCTTAAACAAAAATTTAAAATTAACACACACAGAAAATTTATGATAAATACTTACCCATTAAAAAAACCACATAACTAAATACTTGTTAAATAAAAATTAAGATAAAAAAGATATTTATGTTTTTATCTTTATTTTTATCTCACCGAACTGAAACAATATACAAAACTTTCTCTTACACAGAATGTAGTAGTATAATAAGGCAATAGACTATTATACCACTTCATTGTGTGTAAGAGAAAGTAACAAAGAAAATGCATGGTTTCATTATAAGAAAAGGACAACATACAAAACTAGTTTTATGCACAAACCTATTCCCAGTGTTCTCTTGTGACAACACCCAGATATGTCACTGAATTCTCATAAAATATCTTACAAATAAAATTGAAAAAGAGAAAACCAAATATAATTTCTAACATGGCTCAACACTAACATTAAAAAAGTTTAACAGAACATAAATGAATGGAAACTTGTAACCAACCAGAATTTTATTACATGTTCCATAAAACCCTATCTACTGTCCCATAAATTTTATTAACTTATCTGGATTTTATTTTTATCTAAGTTTACTAACTCTATCTGTTGGTCTGCAATGGTTTTGCAAAATCAACTACAACAATGGTAAGAATATTAGATTTACTTCAATTTAAAATTGTGATAACGAACAAAAGATAACTTATCTTTATCAGTAAACATTTCGGACAGTCTAGCCGTCCCTTTTCAGCCATGCTTGTCACAAACATTTAACGAACACATGCAGTTTGTTAACAAACTCAACTGCCTTCCTTTTTTTGGATTCTTACAGATACTTTATTTATATACTGTATAAACATCATTGGAGATTGCAATTGTCTTCTTTTAACAAAGTAAAATTTTTACACGGTGGGTGCGTTAGCCCCACACCCAACCCTCGACCCAAAGGACCGGCGATCCCGCCCCATTCTCTGACCCGTTTGGCATGAGTATCCCAGTTGGTAACAAAGCCACCGCTGACTTAGCTCACAGTCTAGAGCAATGTTCCGCAACCTTTTTCTGCTTGCAACACACCTATGACTCAACATGACTCAACACGGCACACCAAAATGTTATTCCCCTTAAAAATGTATGATATGATACTATTAATAGAATTTCTTAATGCCATAAACCTATTATTATTATGTTGAGTTTTGTGAGTTGCCCTCGGTTGACACCAATGGCTGTGTACTATGCCGGACCAGAGTCAAGACATATTTAATTTTTGTCTTGTTTTGAAGTTACTAAGTCTGTCAGTGTGTGTCTGTATTCAGGAATTTCTTAACAATATGATGAGTATTCAAAATAGTTGCCTTCTGTAGTGTGATGTATGTGTTTCTATTCAATTTTAATATTTCCAGGCTTTTGTGTAGCATGAGGTATGAAACCTGTGGAGGAAAGAACGACAGGTACAATAAGCACCCTATCCATCCTTCATAGATACCTTATTTCCTGGGCGAGTTCTGTACTTGCTGATTTTTTCAGTGCATGTGTTTTGTACATTGTGAGTGTTTGGAACAGATATGTCTATAATGTGTGTGATTTTATTATGTTTGTCAATGAGTGTGATGTCTGGTCTGTTGTGGTAAATTGTTTTATCTGTGATTATGGCTCNATTTTACAGATTAATTATATGTAGCATAGTAATATTAAAAACATTTTTAAGAGAATAACACAACTTTACAATATATTTTCAATTATTTTCTGTCACAACATTATGATAAATACATTACAATCAATTTTTTTTCCTTAGCGCCACCTATTATATTATACCACTGTTAATCTATTTGCATACCATTTGATATATTGATTAAATTATCATCTTTAAATTTTATAATCTCAATATGTTATTTAAATTTAGGTTTATACATATCTTTTTCCAAATGAATTATTTTTTATGTTATTTCTATCTATTTGACAATTACTATTTTTTATATGGTTGAACCACGGAGAATTATTGTATCTTAATCTAATTGCTGCTTCGTGTTCTTTAATTCTTAATTTTAATGGTCTACTAGTTTCACCTATATAATTCTTTGGTTTTTGGCAATTACAATTAATTTTATATACAACTCCTGATTNAGGTATGAAACCTGTGGAGGAAAGAACGACAGGTACAATAAGCACCCTATCCATCCTTCATAGATACCTTATTTCCTGGGCGAGTTCTGTACTTGCTGATTTTTTCAGTGCATGTGTTTTGTACATTGTGAGTGTTTGGAACAGATATGTCTATAATGTGTGTGATTTTATTATGTTTGTCAATGAGTGTGATGTCTGGTCTGTTGTGGTAAATTGTTTTATCTGTGATTATGGCTGTTGTAATAGTAAATTTTGCCCATGTTGTTTTCCAATACTGTCTATTGAACATGTATTATCTAAGATTTTATTAAACATTTTTTTCTAAATTATTGTTTTCTTTAGTCTCCGGCCCCAATAAAAATGATTTGTTTGTATTTACATGATAAATTATACCCCAACTTATGCGAATTCGACTTACGCGGTTACCGCTTGGTCCCACCTATCGCGTAAGTTCGGGGTATTACTGTATATAAATAAAACTTGAAATCAATAGAATATATAAAAGTTCACATCACACCTTTCACCTTATGATGGCACACCAGTTGCAGAACACTGGTCTAGAGGCACGTGAGCCTATGCACCAAATTGATGTGGGAATCTTGGAGCAGGATTATAATTGTCGTTTGACGAATTAAAGACAAAGTAATTAACATATCTTACAAACCATCAAGTTACACATTTGAAGTTTACTACTAGAGCTAAAACTTAGCACTCGCATATTCAATTATTGTAATATGCAGACAAAAAGCACATTACCAATCACCTATTTTTATTGCAAGTTTGTTTTTTTTCTGACAACACAGTCCACAACCCACAAGATTGTCTAACTCCGCGAGTTTGATTACAGTTGTGCAAATTTTCTATTTATTACACTTTATCATCATTAATTTCAGCAGTCTTGAAAGACTGCTGAAATTAATGATGATAAAGTGTATTAAATAGAATGATGATTAATGATAATTTATACAGAAACATAAATGAAAAAGATGATTAATGATAATTTATACAGAAACATAACACTTATGTTTCTGTATAAATTTATACACAAATCCAAATTTCTGTTAAGTTTCTATAAACAAAAAAGCCTTATGTAATTGGATGACTTTCAGACTTGAACTGATCAGCTTCAGGCTGATCAGTTCAAGTCTGAAAGATCATTAAACTGAAACCTGATCCGAATTTTTAATTGTATTCAACTGTTTTTAGCTGAAATCCAACATTTTATCCGAAGAAAATGTTAATCATCATCAAAACGTTTCATCCTAAGCCATATTAAATGCGTTTCTCCACGTGTTTTTTTAAATAAAAACTCAAAAACGTGTGCTTTAACCAAAGACAAACTTGGAAAATGACCCAATTTTAGATGTCACCTTAATGATGTAAACAGTCTATTTGTTTTCATTTTAAATGAATACAATTAATTAATTTGTCTTTCTACTTATTCTAATTTGATGTTTTGCCTTAAAATAGTCGATTACTTGCCTTTGAACGAATGAAAATGACCATTTTTGTTTCTTCGCAAAATTCCTATTCGAAGTCGACGCCATATTGAATTTATGACGAAGTTCGTCCGGTTATTTTTCGTCATCGATATTTACTGTTGTTATTTAAACTATTATTGGACGATAATTATTAACGACAACAAATATTAACCAATTATCGGATTTAAAATACTTTAAAACTTAACAAAAATTCTTTCGTCATCATATTTATAGTTTATTATACAAATTTTTTTGAGTAACGATGCCGTCATTTCAGTTACTAAAAATTATCAAATTATATATTAATTAATAGTCATATACAAATAATTTTAATGTTATAATAAATACAGTTTTCTAAGGAAAAATCTGTACGAGCTAATATTTGACGTGAGACAATTTCAGAAAAATATTACGAATAAGTCGTATTTTAATGGCACTCTTGAAGCGGGGACGTGAGAAATTATGAAAAATTCAGAAACTTTAAGCAATGTCGACAAGATGTTTAAAATATTATATTTAAACATGTAAATTTTATATTTAATATAGAAGAAAAAATCTATAAAACTGAATAAAAAGCTGAAATCGATCACAAAAAAGACGTCCGGGTTCGAATTCGATAAGTATACTCGTAATTCCTGACGGCAATTAGGATCGGAATTTGCTTCTGATTCTCCACTCACGCTAGTTAACCCCGTCATACTTTTTTTTTAAACGAATTACAGAACTTAAGTTGTTACTGGTACAAGAATCATGATGTTTACATAAATTATCTATAATTCAAGATAGTTATCGATTTCCTATAACTATTGTCACATACAGCAACAGAACTTCTGGGTGTCGTCTAAATTTACAAAATAAAGAAATAAATAATAATAATATATAGCTCTTTTATTTTGTGAAAGAAAATAGAAAAAAGAAGTATAATATTCCGAACGAATTAATTACGTTTTAATCTTTAATTAATTAAAAAAACAAATAAATATATTGTATGATAATGAATACAAATAGAAAAGCGATGGCCAAGAGATTAAATACCTGTTCTGCAGTGAAGTAAACCGAAAAACTTTATTTAACAAGAAAATGTTTTAACTAAAAAACGAGTCTGCCATTTTCACTCAGATGAAAAATTTTTGTAGTTAGACTGGTTTGAAATAATTGCAGCCGATAAAAAAAAGCGGGATTAGCCTACTAAAGAATTTCATTCAATGATGTCATTTCTGCAAGAAAATTGCAGTCGACTACGTTGGTGGACACGGCTCGGTATTTGATTGGCTTCAGTTTGCTATGCGAAAACATTGTATCATAGAAATATCCACCATTTTGGACAGTTTTAAAGTTTGTCTCGAATAATGAAATTGTAAACGAAAAGGAACGTAGATGTTATTGCAAGGGATCCTTATTACGTTTTTACACAGATGCGACCACGAGCTATTTTCCGTAGTTCTTTCACTTATATAACTAGACGCTAAGAAGTTGTTTGAGGATATAGGTTGCAATCTCCATATAAACGAGAGTAGAGTAGAGTAGAGTTGTTTGAGGAAAGAAAAGCAGACGGAAAAAGTATTAGTACCAGTGAAACCCGATAGAGTATACTTCGGTAGAACTGGCAACACTGAAATTCGCTGTTTGGATTTTGTCGGCTGAAATGGCGTGTGTGGTAAGATCTTAATTTTGTTTGAATTCGTTTCTTTTACAATTACGTTAACTGATTGACATATTTAATTGATTAACACGTTATTGTTCATGAATCCAATTTGTAAATATTTCCCTTAAAGGTTTCTATATAAAAGAGTTAAATAAGCACTGATGACGTCTGCTTCATTCATTGGAAAGCGCTTGATAAGTTAATGTTTGATTGTTCTTATTCACTTTCTAATGAATTTACTTAATATTTACGTCGTGTTTGTAATTTTTAGAAATTTTATACGAAACCTGACTGATTCCATTTGTTTTAATGTCATCAATTCTTTCACTTATATAAGTAAACATTTTTAGCTGATAGAATATTTCAGAATGATCATACTTCATTATACAAGAACTTTTTGAATTAGGACAATATGCCAATGTTATAAAGTTAAATTTATATGAATAAAAAATTTAAAGAATCTCAAGTTCAGATGTAAGATCGATTTGTCGATGAAATACCAAGTACATTAATGTTATGTGGCCAATTACAATTCTGTTCATATTGGCAACCTAACTTACAATGAAATTACAATACAGGTGAAAGTATTGGAAAGAATCAAATGTGGATCTTTATAATATTTATTGAATTCAAACTTTGATCTCTTAAAGCAGATGGCTGGGTAAGATGTGAACTCTGAATTAAGAACTTTTTATCCCATCAGAATTGTAGACCATAAAGTCAAAGGAACCATACCTTTATATGTAACTCTTTGTGAGATATTTGCATCCAAAGGTCAGTTTTTACCTTGTAATAGTATACTTGTGCTCTGTGTTAGTCGAGGTAAACAATAGCCAGTCTTGACTGGCATTCTGCATGTAGTTGTGCACTTTGGTGTCCGTGTGGGACAAGCCCCCACACTTCCCAAAAACTATATTACATCAAGTACTCTAGGAACAGTTGAGTGGGCTACTCAAAGCCAGCATAGTTGCCTGGGCTAAATAGTTAAATGCAATAGTCTTGGCGGAGCAATGCACCTTGTAGTTAAAAAAAAAAAGTACATTAGGGACAACAGATTTGATAGGGACCTCGTTTACATCGGATCCACCAAACGCTCCTTGGTGGTCAGAGTACAGGAGCACATAGCGAACATACATCATAAGAGAAATACCACCGCCCTCACCATATACGCTGCTGATCCAGACATTGTGGCAGCCTTCCACCAGGTGAAGCTCGTCTGCACTACGTTACACGCAGAACACCTTAAGTAGCTAGAGGCCATTCACATTTATAAATCGACCCTCAATGATAACTGCATCAATTTTAAAGATGAGTTGGTTCTGTCTCTGTCCTGGCAGGCATTGATGGACTCTGAATTTTAAGTGTCATGATATGTCAACCAAACAAATACGCATGCACGTCTCATATAACAACTTCGAATGTTTCTCAAATTTCCTAAACCATTTGCTCTGATTCATCAGAAATTCCGTTTTACACCTGAAGAACTCACAGCAGTTTGAAAATGTTTGTGGTGAACTTTATCTTTTGTTTTTTTGTGTCACACCGGTTATAGGTTCTAGGAGTATGTTTTTTAACACATCCCGGTGTTTTGTGGTGTAGTTTGCAACTTGCAGTTGCATGCAACCTGGTGGTAGGCCAATTTTTGGGGTGGGGCGTATCTCATAAGGGTGGCATATAGAGGTGTGGTTCCTTTACTTTTTTGCTATGTGGGTATGGTCTATGGCTCTGATAAGGTCTCGGCCATCTCATTCAGAGGTGTAATGGTTGATAATTTATCATGTGATTGTATCGTCTGCTCTATATACAAGATTGCCATATGTGATACCTTAAAACTTCCTACATTTGTTACAATCTTGTAGAAGTAAAAATGTTAAAAGGAACTAATGGTTTATATGTGACCCCTTTGTGAAATATAGTTCTTTGAAAATTTGACCAATCTGGAATTTTGAAGATCTCAAAAATGGAGTAAAATTTAAAAGTGAAAAAATCTGGAGCTATTTCTCAACACAATGCTAAAAATTGTTTTCCACTTCACTAGAGACTGCTAAAAGCTCATAAAACATGAGAAATTCCATTGCACCCACTACTATTAGAATGCAATTGGAGTCATGCTGTGTGCTCCAAAATCAGCTTGTTAAATACACTGCGAATGTTTAACAAGCTGATTTTGGAGGGCTATATTTCATGAAGGGTCACATGTAGACTATCAGTTCCTTTTGACTTTTTTACTCCTATGGGCATGATCTACAGCTGTGATAAACTCTCAACTGCTTCATTCAGAGCTGCAATTTTGTTATCTTATGTATATTTTCATTTCATTATTTATTGTTTACATTACTTATGTATATCTAATACATACACCTAAATTTGTTATTATTGAAACAAAGTTTTTGACATAAGATTTGATTGCTGTGAGGATTGGTTATTTAAGGTGTGCTACTTTTTGAAGTAACATATAATTTTTTTACTTTGTTGTTTTATTTGAAATATCTAAACATTACAGTTTTAATAATAAAATATATGATTTTATAAATTAAGATAAAAATATGAAACATTTTGGTCCAAGTGCAGAACATTTTTAATATATAACTGATAATATATAAGCCAGTTTCTCAAACAGTACTTGATAATAATAATGACATTCCATTATAGTATAATAATAATTAATAATTACAGTATATAATAATATGTTCAAAAGTTTTAAAGTACTTAATGGTCTTAAAATAATTACATTGTATAATTGCTAATGCACTAAAGATTATTCTGGTATTTCACTCCTGAATTTATAAAGATTCTTGTGAAGGTGTTCTCACATATTCCACTTTCTCCTTATCTTAATTATAGTTGCGAGAACTTTCAAATTTAATGCAGTTCAATGTTTTTTGGATATGTGACAATTTTATATGTGCTCAAAGACTATAAAATGTGTATTTTGGGAAAGCCCCAAAATACACATTTTATAGTCTTTGAGCACATATAAAATTGGCACATATTTTGGGAAAGCCCCAAAATATGTTTCATAGTCTTGCATGTAATCAATTGGTATGCTGTTTTCTTTTTGTAAATTCAAATTACCCAAATCTATACTTAAACTTTTTGAATTAATTTTATTTTCTTAACACTGATTTAAATGCGAATTTTAAGGAAAATAATTCCAGGTTTAAATGATTCAATAATCTCTGTTAATTGAGTTCAAATCAATCAGATTCAATCGTATTTATGTAGGTATATATACAGTTGAATCTGATAGCATTTTTTTTTTTTTTTTCCCTTCATTTACTGTTTCTATATCTCCATTTTGTTGTTTGCATATTATTTATTTTATTGCAATTTTATTGTAATCTTGCATTATATTAACATTTGATTTGATGTAATACTTTTCAAAATAATAAATTTTCAAATTTACTGTACAGTACAGTACACTGAGGCAAAGTTGCCATGTCCCTGTTGAATCTTCTACTATTAAAAACTCAAATGGAATATTTTAATTATATCTTATATTTTAAATATTTTCTTAGTTATTCCTTCTGACAATATTTTTTATGCATCCCTAGTCACATTAGGTAGAATGTGTTCTGCTTTTGCCTTTAAATTTTTGGTTGTGTAGCTCAAAATTTTTTTTCTTATTGTGTCATTTCTATTTTTTGAATGTGAAGATTATTTTTTTTAGTAATTTTTTCTTTTTAAGAAATTTTGTAAATGTATTTTATACTGGAGTGCCTAGCATAGGCATCTATTTTGTTACATTTGCTATCTTATTTTATTTTATATAAATACAGTCGATCCCCCTATAACGTACGTTCCTATAACGACAATTCCTATAACGTAGCGAAAAAATTGTAGAAACTTTCGTATAAAGTACCTCCTATAACGTCGTTTCGCGACAAGATTGATAGAGTCTGGACTACTTACCTCCGACCCTGCGCCACGCTACGGAGCAGCTAAATTGAGTTTGCTATTGTCTGTTTAGTATTATATATAAATTATATATAAATTAGGTACTGTATTATATATAAATTAGGTACTGTACATATAATTATATATTAATTATATATAAATTAGGTACTGTATATATAATTATATATTAACTTAATTTATTGTAACTTTATTATAATTATATATATGCTTTCTGCCGCCTGGCAACACGCTACGGAGATTTTAGGCTAGTAAGTTGAGTTTATTATCGTCTGCACAGTATGTAAATTAGGTACCGTAAGTCTAATACAGCACTAATTTTATACATTTCTTGTGAAAGAAACACTTCTTATTCAACGGCCATAAAAATTATTTATATTAATGATGTCTCCAAAGGTCAAGTTATTTTTCTGCGAAAAATTCGTTATCAGAAATCGCGGCCGCCGTTTCGTGTGCTGTTCCGCGACGAAGACAAGCTTTGAACAACGGGCGTAGTCGAACGGTACACACTCGGTAAGTAATCCTATAATTTTTTGTTTATAGCATAGTTTATACAGATTATTCCCAAAAAATTATACGTGTTTTGGAAATGTTGAGTCGAATTAGTCTAGAATCGGTTAATTTTATAGAAGAAAACCTTTCAAACAGCCTTAGTCCGTAAAGTTCCCACCTATTGGGCTGCGATTGGCTCATGTATTTAATCGTTCCTACAACGTAAAATTTGATTAGCGTGGAACGTATCTAAGCGTTATAGGGGGGTCTACTGTATACATTGTTTGTGTTATGGCTAATTTTATACTGCTTATTTTAAATTGCTTATTTATTATTTTAATTGTTGTTGTTACATTTTAATGGGAATTTTTTTGTACTGTTTTGCTCAAGATGGTAATCAAATGCCACAGATGACTTTACCTGTCGTATTTAAAATAAAATAGTTGTATATTATGATTTCAATAAATTAAATAATTATTAATTAATCAGAATATTTTTCTTTTGTAAAAGATCTTGTAATAGTGATTTCATTGTCTTTTGTCTGATTGTTCTTTCCATCTATTGTAATTTTTTTGTATGTTTATGTAATAATATATATGTTTATT